TTAATGGAGCCACACAACTTTCAGCTCAGATTTATTGTCTAATAAAAAACTTCCGCTTTTGCGAGTGCCAACGTCTTCCCGCTCCGCTTATGCATTTACGCAACATTCATTTAACCCTTTTATGCTTTTGGGCAATGCAGATTTACAGGCATAAAGCCATGCGAAGTTTATGAAGCACACAAAATTAAAGTTGAAGCACAAAACTTGGAGAAATTGAGTTGTAAGCGGCTTTTATGAGCGCAACCTGAACTGAAAGTTAAGGCAAGCCATGTCAAGGATTCGAAAATCCTTTTAAACGCTCATTTGTTTAGACGTGAAGCCAAGCAATAGCATATTGTTTTCTCTGCCGCAGCAATCAACGCAGTTAGACAGCCATAACATTTCAAAGATATTATGCAGATTCCTCGAATATCCAAGCAGTTCGAGTTGTGGGGGCCAACTGTGAGCAAAGGATTAGAGTAGAAACCGAAGGCAGATGATTGGAAAGGTCTGCCACACATTGCCTCATTTATGCCGTTCGTGTCCGAGCTGCGGCTAGTCCGTAGTCTGGTATTGTATTTTGTACGTGCCGCCATCTGAGCACTGGGCGCGTGACTGTAGCATCCTGCCATATCCAGTTCCAACAATGCCTTTGGGCAGCCTGATGCGCTCTTGATAACTTGTTTGTGCGCTGCTAACTGACAGCATTTTGTTGTAAGCCGTCAGTCGACAGTCGGCGTGACTTGGCGACAACTTGTCGCCATCAGGTTGATAAATAGTTTCTGAGCTCTTGCGGTGCGCAGGCATAGAGAAATCCTTGAATTACACGCGCCTGTCGCCCATAAGTTGATTGAAATTAAAAACAAGCTCAGCGATTCCACAGCCTGATACGCTGTCACAGTATATATTTTTATTTTGCCCGAGTTACTTTTGGTCCCTCCCCCCACACACACACACACACACACGCGCAGGTGTGCACATTCCCAGCTGTCTTTTTTCAGCTCTCTGTTTTTTCGCAGAGCTTTAAAATGTTGCCCTGCGAGCTGTTTAAGTTTTTATTTCGTTCTGCTTCGCTTCGCCGGGCGCCGCATAAAATTTGATGCACTTGAAAGCATGTAATGAAAATGTACATCAAACAGCAGCACACATAAAATTGTCTTGTTTAAATTACAGCAAGATTTTACACTCACTGCGCTCACTGACATTCACGAGATGGACACCTGTCGCCCTAGAAAATAAGCGCCAGCTGTTCAAGTATGACTATGACAAAAGCTGTGCCAGAGTATGTTTGCTAAGAAAGAAAACATAAGCTGGCCGGACTAAAAGCCAACCAAAAAAAAAAAAGGCTAAATATAGCTATTCAGCTGAGCTTTAAGTGAGTTTCAGCACAAAGCTCTTAAAGCTAAATCAAAGAATAAAAATTTCTAACATGTTTATTACACATTTCTCAAGGCTAATTGGTTCAAGTGGAAAACTTAATTTCTAGCTTGTTAAACTTTAAGCTCTATGCTAGTTGCTTAAAGCATACGTGAGGTCGCAAAGCTCATATTTTACATTAATAAAAACATTTTAGCTAGGGGATTAAGCAAAAGCTGTTTGAGTTCAGTTAAAAACGGTTAAGCTTAATTGCATTGATTAAACTAATTGCAAAGCTTTTCTGTGCTTTCCTAGTTGCTTAATATGCTCGTAAAAAATTGCTTGTACAAAATTCAAGTTTTAAGTAGTTAATCAAGCAGCTTATGCAGCCGAAAAACAGGCCAATTCTGTTCACAGTTAATTAAACTATGAGCTTTAAGTGCACCTAACTGCACTCAATGGCACTTAAATCTTTTCAATCGGTTATCTACTGCAAATACACTCGTAGATTGGCAGCTCTTGCGAAGTTTAAATACCACTTTTAGCTAGTCGTATGGCCACTTAATCATTTTAATAGCCACTGTCACTAATAGCCACTGTCAAATGCACAAATACCACTTGACAAAGCAGCGCAACGCGTCGTATGCGTAATAATTGAAAGGGCAACAAATTTGTTGTAGTAGCCAATTTGTGGCAATTGACAAGCACTAAAGGCAACAGAGTGCCGCATGTCCAATGTGTGCAGTTTTAATGATATATTTATTACCAAGACAGATATAACGAGCAGCCATCGATGTTTACAGAATTGACCCGAAGCCACAAAGCGAACATAAATAATTCATTTAGATATGGGACATGGTATTGAGTTACATGGCTTTAACTCTGCGCTTGACTCCGACTCTCCGACTCTCCGGCTCTCCAATTGTCCGGCTGTCTGTCTAGTGTCTGTGGTGTCTGCATCTGTGACTATGGGTCCTATTTATGGCACCCCAGGGAAATGACGCCTTATGAATGCCATTTTAATACACACACACACAAAAAAAAAAGACGAAGAAAACTTTGACATTATTGTCAGACAGTTAACTGAAAGCGAAATCAAAATGCTATTTCTGTGACGTTTGTCTCTCCATTGATAGACGCACAGTTATTCAAGCTGTTACACATACGTATTTGTATATACAGATGACTATATCTAAACAGTTACCCATTCAGCCATTTGAGTGTCTGTGCGTCATGGCACACGCACAAGCTGCATAGCTATAGACAGATAAAGGAAAACTCGTCGGCTTGGCGGGCTCGGTGCCCGGGGGCGTAACTAGTATCGCAGACGTAAATGTATATTTGACGCACCACAAAACATTTATCAAGTGGTTCGCTCAATTTGGTAAATCTAAACGTCTATCGAGCCCATTCATTTGGCTCGCTTTCAGCATTTTTTGTATTGATTTTGCCAACTTTTTTTCTTTGCATACATTCGCAAAGGACTCGATTATTTTCTCATGGAATTTCTGACGCATTGAAGAAGAACCTGTAAATATATGTATATATATTGTGGATTGTGTCGTAATTGGCATACAAGTTTTCCTGTCTGTCTCTGTACTCGGAAAGAATTACTCCCAGAGGAAGTGATCAATCCGAAAGTGAGTTATTTTATAAAAAAAAAACATTTGTGTTTCGAATATCTTGACATTGCAACTTGTTCATCAAGTAGATATATTTCTGATCAACATATAGAGCAAACTTGATGCAGCCTCGTCTCTAAACTTAGCATAAGACCGTCTTTCTTTTTCAGGCAGGGCAGGCAGGACCCCTTTATCATCAAACGATTTGAAATGAGGTTTTGGTATGAAATCATTTCTGACTATGCAAATATGTCTCACATTTGCCATAGCACTGCAAGGGTATATAATCTTCGGCTTACCGATATCTCTTCTTTATTCCTTTTTTATTTGTTGCCAGCCCATCCAAGTGGCCCCCAAAAGTAGTCTAGGGCTTTTTCCCATGCGCCCAAAAGCAATCGTATTTGTTTGGGCTCTGTATTTGGTTATAAAGTTTAAAGACTTGTTCTGGCATACTCTGCTAATTAGCTGCGCTCGTCACCATTCACGTCATTCGCATGCACTCGAATTTCAAATCAAAACAATTTAAAAAGCTTGCAGTCAAGCTGTCGACCACCCCCCCCCCCCCCTTGCCATGCCCCACCAATCCGATGCCTAAAGTTTTGTACTTTTTTTAAAATCATTTCTTACGGCATTTTGTTGCCATTTCTGTGCGGGTCCCGAGGCTGTGGGCTGTGCAGGTGGCAGGCGGCGGGTGTTCGGCTTACCTGACCCAACGTTTTATTTAAGTTTTCGCATTGTTTAGACTTATGTATATTATTTGCCTTGAATGCGATGATGGGCTGGGCTTGGAGGGGGTCGGGCGTTGCTTTACCCGCATTTGCTTGCCGCGTCCCTCAACTTTTTGTGCTCTGTGTTTGCTTTAACATTGAAAAAGTTTGTTTTTTCCTCCTCTGAACTCATAAAGAGCAGCCAACGCGTACTACGGACTTTTTCAACTGAGGTTTTGATGCCTTTCAGTTTGAAAATATCCATTGCCTAGCTGAGAATGAGGCCCAAAGTTTTTCGCCCGCTTCTTGATACATTTCTTTCCTATATAAAGAGAGTGCCTACAATGCATACATATATATGTATATGTATATGTATATGTATAAGGTATATTGTGCTAGCGCCAACAAAAGGTCAATGAACAATTGTCAAAGTCGCGCTGCTCTTGACTTGCCAACATAAATGCCATTTAAAAAGTTTTATATTATAGTTTGCGAGCACTTGGCAAGTGCCATTAAAAAGCCGCTGATTCATTTGCTTGTTTTAGAGACTTTCGCCCTATAACAATGCGGTTGAAGGCGTCTTTTATCACAGTGCACGCTCAATTAAAAGTTGACAACTTACAAGTTGTTGCCATTAAGCACTATCTCGGACCTCTTGAGTCCAACCAATTGTTAGCAAATTCTTAGACTATTATTTTATACTATTATATATATACTCTACTTAAATTGATGTGCACTCTATCTCACATTTTAAAAAATAGCCTTTGTTCTTTAATATATATTGAATATTTTAAAAATAAGTGCCCTAATTTTATCTTGCACAAATTGACCAGAAATTATGTATATTAAATTATCGTAAGATTTGTCCCTAGATCGAATACTTCGTATTGAAAACATTTCCGAAACAATTAAATTAAATAAGTTCCTTATTGTGTGAAGCTCCATATTCTTGGGTATTCTTACTTTCAAATTAGCGCTGGGCCAGTTTATTCTAATCTCAGAATTTAACTGCTAAATCTACTTAATTTATAGAAATTATCATTATGAACTCAACAATTCGCTCAGCTACTGTGCTAACAATTTTATAACATAAGATAAAATAGACTTGTTTAGTTGATTTTAATCTATTATTATCATTGTTGAAAATATGTATTGTTCTATTATATACATATTTCTGTGACTAATTTCTTGCTATATTTTGGTGATTGTTATATTTACAACTTGACGTTTAAAGCTAGCAGATATCGCTGCTTATCTCTAGCAATAATGTCCATTGATTAGACACGAACGGGGACTAACTCAACGCAATTGGCGATCCGAAACTCAGTACGGTTTGTCAACGCAAATTGGGCATTTGTCAGCATTACAACGAATAGAAGAGATGGAAGGCTTTCTAATTGCACTTTCTATTGCAATATGTATATTTTTTATAGTTTCAATTACGGTTTTAATTAGGCGCCAGCAAAAGGCAAAACAAGGCGTGGGCTATGTGATCAGCGAGGGAAGTGAGTGAAAAGCATGCTGAGGCTACATATCAATCTGTGCTTATCAGCTGGGCGTCTATACTATATGTTTTTCATTATTACTTTATTAACAAAGAGTTATTTCGCTTTGCAGCACCTGTTGCGATCACCTCGGCCACACACAGGCCACCAGGTGGTGCACCCGTTACACATTACCCACCGCCAAGCTATCAGGCTAACGTCTATCCTGGCACGTATGCATATCCAGCACAAACCACCAGGTAAGCTTCTAAGCAAGACAATTCCCTGAATCGTACACTTAATATATACCTTTATAGCCATGTACAAATGATACCCGTGCAAGTTCAGGTTATGCCAACTCCAATGCCTGGGTAGGTTAAACTATTGAATTTAATTAAAATGTATGCACATATTTATCGTACGTATATTATGATTATAGCATGCAAACGTCCTATCCGCCCATGCAGCAGCGTGTTGTTAACAATGGAACTATGTCTAATGCAGATCTGACCGTTCTTCCAGCGAACTGTGAGAAACCTATCACTCATCAGACCCACCAAGGGGCGGTCGAAACAGTTAGCCAAATCTAAGCGCTTTTTACTAAGGATTACCATTTGGCATACAAAAAAAAAACCTTGACGATTTTCTTAATAATTATTTATTTATGCAAGGTACATCGGTTTTTTTTATTAGAACATATAAATAGAATTAAAAACATTTAAAATTTAAATGTAAAATCCCCAACACATGGTCACACTTGCAGTCAGCTGAAGCGCTATCGATATCTTTTTAGCTGACTATCGATAACGCTGCACCGATTAGAGCTGCCAGCTTTTTTATGTTTAATGCAGATAATTTCGACCATAATTAAGCAAATTATTCAATATATAGAGTATTTAACACTTCTTTTGAATAACTTATAAATAATGCGACACAATTTTAAATACTACTAATTTGTTCATAACAAAATTAATTGCGGCTAGCTTCTGGTTGTTTTAGCCTTTTTTTTGTGCCAGCTGGCTTCTTTTTGGCTATCGATAACTGTAAGCTGGCAACTCTGTCAGACAGTCGTGCAACTTCTTGAGTGCAACTAAGATTTTCCATTCGGAAAACAACATATTGTTTGCTTGAAATATTTAAAATTGCAAACGCAGTGCCGTTTCAATTTCGTACGAAAATGTTGGTCAACGAAGCCAGACAAGTTTTGAGCCGCGCCAGCTCCTTGGCGGCGCGTCACCAGGTAAGCATCAGGCCAAACGTCCTCCATCCCCGCGAGGGGCGTGTGGTTGGCCATTTAGGCCCTGTTATTATATAAGAATTAACAAAAACATAACTAAATTGCCTAAATGCCTGATAAAATGCCAGTCGAATGCGTCGCAAAAATATCACAATTTGCGATTATGTAAACATTTTTGCCATACGAAAAAAAAAAAATTGCTATGGCGTGACCAAAGCGCAAAAGTAACCAAATTAATTTTGTGGTTTTCCCAGTTACGTGCAATCAGCAACACAACGCAGCTGGAGCAGCAGGCACAGCCGAAGGCAGCGCAGGAGCCGCAAATTAAGAAGTTTGAAATCTATCGCTGGAGTCCGGACAATGCCGGCGAGAAGCCCCACATGCAGACCTACGAGGTTAATATGCGCGAATGCGGTCCCATGGTGCTGGATGCGCTCATTAAGATCAAGAATGAGATAGATCCCACTCTGACGTTCCGTCGCTCTTGTCGCGAGGGCATTTGCGGTTCGTGTGCCATGAACATTGGCGGCGTCAATACCCTGGCCTGCATCAGCAAAATCGATGCGACCAGCTCGAAGCCTCTGAAGGTGTATCCATTGCCGCATATGTATGTGGTGAGGGATCTGGTGCCAGACATGAACAACTTCTACGAGCAGTACAAAAACATCCAGCCCTGGCTGCAGCGCAAGTAAGTAATTAGCAGCTGACCAATAACTTTATATTAATTGTTTTCTTAATCCATTTAGAAACGAAGCCGTTGAGCAGAAGGGCAAGGCACAGTACTTGCAGTCTGTGGAGGATCGCTCCAAACTGGATGGCCTGTACGAGTGCATTCTGTGCGCTTGCTGCTCGACTGCATGCCCATCGTACTGGTGGAATGCCGAGAAGTATCTCGGCCCGGCTGTGCTGATGCAGGCGTATCGCTGGATCATTGATTCGCGTGACGAGAACAGCGTGGAGCGTCTGAGCAAGCTAAAGGATCCCTTCAGCGTGTATCGTTGTCACACCATCATGAACTGCACGCGCACCTGTCCAAAGGGTCTCAATCCTGGCCGTGCTATTGCCGAGATCAAGAAATTGCTCTCCGGTCTAGCCTCGAAGCCGGCGCCCAAAATGGAAACGGCTGCGCTGCACAAGTAGAAAAAAAATGTTCAAGTCCTAAACTCTTTGTGAATCCGCTCCCTTAATCAGTTGGCTTCTGGCTGTAGGCTGCAGCGGCAACGGCAGAGTTACCATTATGATAACCAGTGTGCTCGCCCAGCTCCAACTATTTTTGCTTATTATGTTTATAATTTATTTAAGCTTAAAGTAAACGAAATATGTTATTACAGTTTGTAAAGGGAACTTTGTAATCGCGACATTAATCAACTAAATGGTGTATCTATGCAATGCCTTTCTTTACGGTGCTGTGGGCGAGGTCTCATCGTTCATCTGTATATCATCGGCAGAGTAAAAATCCTGTGTGACTGGAATGACCCGATCGTTGGTCTCATCGTCCTCCTCATCGTGGCTGTCGGTGTCCTCGCTATCGTCGTTGGCTTTGGTAATCATTGATTAGCATTTGTAAATCTTATGCCCTCTTTTATTTTAAGACTTACCGTCCTCATCATCGGTTTCCACGCCGGTTATAGTGTGCACCTTGCCCAGCGGCTGCAGATCCGTGGCAGCTGTTTTCAAGGATTCTCGCTGCAATAGAAAGCGCGTCAAATGTTATCCAATTTTAAATGAATATCGGACATACCCAATTCCTGCGCTCGTCCTCATAACGTTTGGTTTGTACCTCATCATCGGATGTCATATCAAACCAAATACGATTGGCCACCGAAGGCTTGATACTGGGAAAGAACGGAATCATGGACATGTTTGCAAGACTTTTCTAGATATTTAGTGCTGAATTTGCCGTCTGCTAATTTGTTATTTCTGCAGCGAATTATCCGGTCAATCTGGCAACACTTAAATATATATCGATAACGTTGCCATGAAAGCCATATGCAGTTATCGAAACATATTTGTTGTTGCATTGAGAGGTGAAGACAAAACACACAAATATGATTGAAATAACTTGCAATGATCGTCTGGGCAAAAAGGTAACAGCATTGTGCTTTAAAAATACCACATAATAAAGACTTTCGTTTGTCTTGCAGGTGCGTGTGAAGTGCAATCCCGACGACACCATTGGGGACCTGAAAAAACTGATAGCGGCGCAAACTGGCACAAAGCACGAGAAGATTGTGCTAAAAAAGTGGTATACCATCTACAAGGACCCCATTCGTCTATCTGATTGTTCGTAGCTATCTAGTTTATTATGTGATAATTAATAATATTAATGACCTGCCTTTTATGGTACTTGCAGATGAAATTCACGACGGCATGAATCTGGAGCTCTACTACCAATAAACTGCCTAAGCACCTATACGAAAAATCTTTTATACTCTGCGCTATTACAACGTAAATTGATATATATGTATATGAAAACAACGTTTACATTAATATAATTCCCATTCCGTGGGGAATGGCTACCAAAAAAGTAACAAGGAATATTCGCGCGTTTTTGCACGGAACATTCCCGAGTATCGTACCGAGTTTACTGCTGTTTAATTTCGTGTCGAAATATCGAGTATTCAGAACGATGTATCGGTCACACATTTATTGTCAAATATGAACTGCTTGCCTAAATGACGTAGTTGTCACGACGCTCCTAAAATGTATCGATATATCGTATATTATTTGACGTACACTGCGACTTATCGAGTCATTCGTAATTTTTCTGTCGGTATAGTCAGACGTGTATTTGTTCGGTGCGCACATCTATTTATAAAACGTCGCGACCGCCAATCAAAAACAAATTGTGCAAAAGCACATTAAATAAAAACTGAATTCTTGTGCTAAACTTGAATGTGTGAAATGTAAGTGTATATAATATTTTATACAACTGCACGTGTGTGTGTGCGCCATATTTTCTTTTGGCACGCTACAAAAAAAAGAAAAAAAAACGACGCGGCCTTTGCTGACGCAGTTGCGGGTCGGAAAACTTGTTTGGATTTTCACGCATTTCACCAAAAACATAAAGAGTAGAAGTGTGTATGCCTTTTGCGAAAGGGCGTCGCGACGCATTTTATTGATTAACACCACCAAATATCTGTGTTCGTTTATGGCGTGGCCTCGTCGTTGTTAATTTTTTTTTAGTTACTTACTTTTTTGTTTATGCTCACACTGAGTGCCCCTAATGTGAATTGTGGTGCTTCGTCTGCACTTTGCCGACTTTTTGCATGGCCCGCCCGGCAATGCGTGATAAATGCTGCTGCCGTTGCAGCTGCCTGTCTTATGTATTTTTAGGCGCACGCTGCGCTCCCATTGCAATCTAATTAAATCTCAAGAAAATGCGCTCATTTCCACACGCATTGCATAATTTTGTAATGTTAATGCTTTCGACCAACAGCTCGATTTGTTGAGCACTCGAGCGTAAAAGAAACTGAGCTATCTACACACACTTACATATATAAATGCGTGCGTATAAGTGTGTTCAATGTTTCGTCAGACCTTGTTTCATTACCAATTGTAATGCCCATTTGCGCCCCGCCCCTCCACCTTCCTCCCTGCTGCTGTGAATTGAAATCCACATTGTAAACAACCCACGCCCGTCACACACACACACACACACGCACAGACACACATAAACAAACCGTACACACACACACACACACATAGACATAAATGCTTCAGGCATTTATTTATTTCCCCCCTACAACCATTAATTGTTTATTCTTTTCGTTTGCAGTTAAACTTTTTAAGCAGGCCATGAGCGACCAACTATACCAGATAGAGACGCGCCGGCGTTCGCGCTCCAAGACGCCATTCTTGCGCTCCAGCTGCGATCATGAGAATTGTGAGCATGCGGGCGAGGAGGGGCATGTCCATCACAAGAAGCAGAAGTCGTCCCAGCCCCCGAATGTTCAGTAAGTACACTTGAGAGCGTATCTAAACATTAACCGTAAAGAAAACCAATTCTAAAATATGCTGCTTATCAGTTGAACATGCCACCTAATTGAAGAGAGTTTCAGAGTTGCCAAAGCAACAACAAAAAAAAGCGTTACTTTGGCAATAGAACTAAACAAAAGCTCGTCATAAACATTGAGCACACAACTACAAACATAAGTCACGACACATTTATACGTGTGCATGTGTGCGTTTTTGTGACCATGACGTCATCTGCTTGTTATTCACACTCGGCGCGAAATTTTAATTTCGAAATGTAAAACTGAAATACTTAACACACAAGAGATGCGCCAGCTGTCACTGTGACTGTCTGGCCAGTAACAGTGACTCTGTCTTCTGTGTACAACTCAAGTGGCAACACTGTAATGCAATGGAAGAAAATATGTTGCATTAACTAGCATTAAATATTAATTAATATGCACGCAGAAATATTTAAGCTGAAACCCAATTTTAACCTTATAAATAAGCGATGACATCATTTACTCTCGCCAGCAGTCACAGTCACTAATGTTTGTATCCCGGCAGTGACTCATTTCCTAAAGATATCATCAACAATGCTCGCTCAGATCTGATGCCAATTTGTTTGTTTGAGTTCAAATCGTCGACGAGCTGCTATACAGGGTGCGCTGTCGCGTGTTGCTTTAAATATGATTTCTTTTTGGCGCGCGAATTGAATCTAACGTGCGCTTTGTAGCTTGGATTGCCGTTTGCTCTCTTGCCGCGCCGTTTCGTTGATGACGACATCAGGCAAGAGGCGGAGGCAATTTGGCCCTGAGAGCTTCGTTTTCATGTTGTCGCTTATAGCCAAAAAAAAAAAAAAAAAAAAACAAAAATGCCATATGCTGGTTTTTTGTTTTTGTTGCTGAAGGTCAGATTCGTTTTTATTTGTAAAACAATTATGAGAATATTTTCTAGTTTGTTTTGATTCACATTTAGCCTTTATTATGCTGAAGTCTGTAGTTTATTTTATCTACACAGTTTCCGCTAACGTTACTAACTTGTTTACATATTTACAGAACAATTGTGGAGGAGCACGTGGTCGAGTCTCATACGACCACCACCAGAAGCAGCAGCAGCAACAGCAACCGCAACAGCAACAATAAAGCCACGCGCTCAAAGGCATTTAACCAACTAACCTCTGACTATTCGAGCGATGATGCGATGTCAGAGGCTCAGCGCAAGGCAACGGGCAGCACATCCACGGTGACCACCATGTTCACCAGCACCAGCAAGCGACTGGGCAATGCCTTGAACAGCCTGACCGCTGTTACCTCCACGCCGCGCAGTCAATTGGAGTCGACACAAAATGTGCTGAATACCACACAGGAGCTTCACCAGCAGCAGAAGGAGCGCAGCACCCGCGGACGCTCCAATGGCAACTCTCATGCCAATTTAAGCGATGATCATTTGGCCTATATTGAGTACAGAGATGCCGGCGAGTACTGGAAGTAAGTAGCTGGCGAGTAGCACTTGTAGCAGCTGAGTTAATACATCTCAGTTGCCTTGAAATATGTCACTTGGTTTCGCTTGACTCTACAATTGTCAGCCCAGCTCCAAGTGCTATTTGTATGCGTTTATTCTAAAAGAAATCAAACTAATTGAATTATGTTTCGCAGCAAAACACCCAAAACGGATTATACCTACTCGGAACTGTCGCCGCATAGACGCCAGCTGGCTCCAGGCATTGTGGCCATGCCGAATATGTCGCGTCGCAGTCTAGAGAATCATAATGAACGCGTCGACATCATGGTCAATCAGAATCCAGCCCAGGAGGAGTTCATACGCCGCCGCTATCAGTCGAACTACACGCGCTTAAATTACGACTCTGGCGATGAGCTGGACAATACAAATTTCATCCACCAACAGCAGCAGAGCTGGTGGCTCTTGCGCTTCATCAGCGTCATTGTCAGCAGCATAAGCAGCATGTGGACGCGCATTACAAGCATTTCGCAAACAGAGACGAGTGCCTACCGCAACTACTATGCCAGGCAGCAGCAGCAGCGTCAACAGCAGCAGCAGCATGGACTCATAGTTGGCAGCCTGTTGAGCCTGATGCGCCATGTCTACATAGCCATTGCCTCGGTGCTCAGCCTGGACACGTGGCTGCTCAGATCCAGCAGCATTGATAACAAGTCGAAGAAGCGTTTTCTGCTCTTGCTGCTCATACTGCTGCCCCTCTTGCTGCTAACGGGTAAGTGAAAATAGATGAAAATATTTAAATGTATTTTATGTAAAACATGTGAACGTGCACGCCTTGACATTGAGCGGCAGCCAAATGCTCACCTTGAATCGTGCCCACAACTAACGCCACATGCATATAGTTCACCTTACTGGCTGAGTGTATTAATAAAACTGGTCGACTCTGGTCGTTGACAGCGTCTGACGTCAGCAGCCAGTTGCCAGTTGCCAGTTGCTGCGGTTGTTATTGATATGGAAAATGTGTGCATAATTTCTATAAACATTTTCATAGGCACGTTCATATATTTTACTAAATGCTGGAATGACACTTGCCACTAGAATGCAATATATAAAATTGATGTCTAATAATAGAGCAAAGCTGCTCAACACATCTGCGTGATTGTTAGCTAAGAATTGGCAAGCATCATTACAGCTTTGGCTATAAATAAGTAGGCTGGAATGACACATGCTAGATTTAGACGCAGTGTCATATATGCTCTTTTTTAATTTTGAATTAAAGCTAAGTAGCAGTTGATTAAATCAAAAACATTGCACATATAAATTAGTTAGAATGATACTTAAGAGTTTTCAAGAATGTTAATTCTTGAATTTATTCTAAAAAATGAAGCAATAATACAAATTTATGCAACTAAATATTTAAGACTATCAAGTATCCATGCCAGCATTAGATTAGTTAAGATATTTAATTATAGCATACATATATGCGTATATATTCGGCTAATTGCAACTTTCAACTTTACAGGTCTGTTCTATTATCTACATCCCAATGAAAGTTTCCCGCCCAAATCCCTAACTCTGAACACATTCACACTACCCGAAATGCCGAAAATTGATGTTGGGGCCTATTTGAATGCGGCCCAGTATGAAACGCTGCGCTCTCAGGCTGTTGAGCAGGCGGTGCGCGTGCGTGACTGGGCCGATGATTATCTGGTTTATTTGAAAACAATCGGCCAGAATGTGGCCAACAGGGGCCGTCAATTGTTTCAATTTCAGGCCAATAGTGATGCGGTCTATTACGAGCGTGTTTAAAGAATACTTTCAGCAATTTTGCTATCGTTTCGGCCATGAGCTGCTGCAGCAGCTGTTTATCTAAAGTTTTGTTTATCTTTAATCTAAAACCAAGATCAATTCAAGTACAAATTCAAGCATTTGTTTGGCATTTCCTCGTTAAACATTTCGTTCAGTTCACGTTACATTTTCTTTTTTCATGCCAAACTTTATATATTTTTGTCATTTTGTTTAAATTTAAACGCCCCACCTGAACACACACACACACTCATACACTCACATGATACTCCCACTCCCACTCCCCAAACCCCCTCACCCAACTAAATGACGCAATATGGAGAAGGATAGAGAGAAAGAGAGAACTCGCTACGCTGTTCAAATTGTGCATAAAGTTAATAATTAAAAAACAAAAAAACAAAAAATGTCATTCATTGTTTGTTGTCGACTTTGCTTTTGGGTCTCGTATTGACAATTGCAAAAAGTTCAGCTTGTGTAATTATTAATTTTTGAGTTAATAATTGCACAATTCAAGTCTTAGCTGTTTCTATTAGCCCAAATTGTAATTTTGTGCAACGTTTTAAGCCTATTTTTGTTGTCAAACAACGTTTAAATTGTAATCCTTTCATTGTTTGTCTATAAAAGCTATAAATTTATAATAAATGCAAACAATTTCATAAACATTTATGAAATACAGTACAAAAACTAAAA